GTAGGCCTGACTGAATCTTTGAATTCTTTAACTACTCCGAAGTCGCCGAGTTTGATCATGTAAAAACAATTGAGAGAAAAAGCTATTTTATAACTATTTTAGTTTTTTAGAACGAATCACAAACTTAGTCGGGTTGATGTCCCGATGCACTTCTCTTTTCTCACCCAAATACACCAAAGCCAAAAAGATTTGATGCGTCCATTTTTGGTGCGTCCAATCGAGTAAAAAAAGCTTTTCGTCAAAAATAACTAAATCTCCAACAAGTACTTTTATTCATGAATCACAAAGCTATCGTAGAAATCATTTCCTTTCTTGGGTACACGGAGACCAAGAACCAATAATCATTGGTTATCGCCGATTCGTTGCCCGGGTGTTTTATTTGTTGAATTGAGGCCCTTTGTCGAAATAAAAACAACCGAGCCGTTTTTCTGACTCCCCAGGGATAATTGTGGGTGCACTGTACAGTAAAACATTTCAAGTCCGATTTTTGAAAAAATTTTTATGCTATGGATTCAAACTGGAATGTTGGCCAATCTCAGTGGATTTATGCATGTGCCGGAACGGGGATCGGCTTGAATTTTCTGCTTCTATATTTGATTTTCACTGATTCGAATGTGAGTTTGCATAGAAAATATAAAACTGAACCCTATTACAGCATGGCAGAGATGGATATCGTCGCATGTTGGCCATCGTCAGTTGTTACAATATTTACTACGCTGTTGTGCATTGCGTGATGGAAGTGGTGAGTAAATTTTGCCAAAGCTAGATACAAAGGAAAGGAGTTAAGAAGAATGTAAGAATTTAAAGTGTGTTCCAGGACAGCCATGGCATGATGCAAATTAGCTCAGACTTTACTCTAACGCTGAACAGTTTCCCAAGCTTGTTCAAGACTTGATACTTGATACAAAGGTTTTGGGGGTGAAGGAGCTAAGAAGAATGTGAGGGGCTAGAGTGACTTCCAGAAAAGCCATACATAATGTAAATTAGCTCAAAACATTAATCTAACACTAAACAAAGTCCCAATCTTGTACTCAAACTGTTCCTCGATGGAAAGTTTTTGAACGTGAAGGAGTTAAGAAGAGTTAGAGGGAGAATAAAGTGAGTTACAGGACCGCGATATCCTTATGAAATGGATAGAATCTTCGATCCAAACACTGAATAGTTTCCCAATCTTGTTCTTGAGCTGATACTGATACAAAGATTTTGAAGCAAGAAGAGTTAAAAATGAAAGGGGGGCTAAAGTGACTTCCAGGACAGACATAGCATAATGAGATGGATCGAAACTTCAAGCTGAACACTAAATAGTTTCCCAATCTTGTTCGGGAGCTGATACTTGATAAAAAGCTTTTGAAGGTAAAGGAGTTAAGAAGAATGTGAGGGGCTAGAGTGACTTCCAGAACAGCCATACATTATGTAAATTAGCTCAAAACTTTAACCTAATACTGAACAACTTCCCAATCTTGTTCCGAGTTACTTTATACAGATTTAAAAATCTGTATAAAGATGAGCGAAAAGAAAGAGAAGGGGCTAGAGTGAGTTCCAGAACAACCATAGCATGGAGAAAATAAGCATGAAACTTCAACTAAACACTAAAAAGTTCCCCAATCTTGTTCTGAAGCTTGTTACTGGTACAAAAGCCTTTGAAGGTGAAGGGGTTAAAAATGAGAAGGGACTAAATTGAGTTCCAGAACAGCCATGCATGATGTAAATAGCTTCAAAACTTTAATCTAACACTAAACAACTCTCCAATCTTTTTCCGAGTTTACACTTGACTTACGAAATTTTCCTCAAACTTTCCCAATGAAAAACTTTCTCGACTTCCGATCGCATTCAGGGAATCCTCATCGATTCAAGTGGATTTCTCGCCTTCAGTTATTCTTGTGCCCGTTTCGGCTACTGGGTCTCGTTTTTTGCCATCCAGGTTTAGATTTTAAAGATTTTGAATGAAAATTTAAATAATTTTTTTTTCAGCTCTACAGTATTTCTTTTGTCATCTCCCTATTGCTCTTAACAATTCACTGCCTTTATCGCTATGTGAAAATCTCTGGGTATCTAAAAATCTTCATCAACAATCTGAAAAGTTTAGGAAGTTCAAAAATCTCTTCTCGAGATGGCCTTATCTGATTTCTTTGATTCTAGTTCATATTTTGTTGGGTGTTCTAGATGTTTTCTTCACAACATTAACAATGAGGGTAAGCAAAAATAGAAACACATCCGTTCTGGCACACTCGCGTCCAATTTTTAGCCAAGCCCTGAAAGAGATGAAATCAGTCGAGTGGCATTGTTGCAACGCTACAATTTGAGCATCGACCAATTGGGATATTTGGGGCCAGTGTACAAGGTTTGATAAAAGGAAACTGTGCTTAAAAATAGAATTTCAGCTAACTAATACAAGTGGCTCTTGGGTGTATGTCTGGCCGAGTATCATCAGCACAATGAGTACGGTGACTCTACAAGTGATCGTCTATTGCGCAACTTGTGTATGCGGGGTTCAGCTGTGAGTCTTTCTAAAGAAAACTTGAGTCGAATCGAAATTTAGATACATTTTTGTGCGAAAAGCCCTTGTCAGCAATCGATCAAAATCGATGAACATGCAACTTTTGCGTTTATTGATGATACAGGTAAAAGAGCGATCTCTCAACCAAAGTCTAGTTTTCCAGGCAATCACTCCACTCATTTTTGAGTATATCCCATTTTTCGCTACATTGTTCGGTGGATTCATTGGTTAGTCGTTAAAAAAATTTTTTTAATGTGTTTTTCAGGACTTCCCTTGGACGAGGCTTCGTTTTACATCCCAATTTTGGTCTCCTGTTATTCAGCCTCAGAGGCGACAATGACAATTTTCGGTTTTACAGTAAGTCTTTAAAGTGAAAAGACTTTCAAATCCATCAGCTATTTAGATATATCGTGAAAGGCTCCTCAGAGTGGGTTCTTTGCCTGCGAAGGCAATTCGAGCATCAAAAAAGGAAAGCCCACCACCTATCAGTTTGCGATCGAAATCTCTTCCAGTTATACACAGATCGTCAACTAAGGGGCAACTTAATAAATGATTGATGTAGTAAATTTTTCTCTTATTTATGATTGATCGGGTGCATCGCTCTAAATTTCTCCTTTATTGATAAATCATAGATCTCACCGATAGTAAACTTGCTCACAACGCCGGTAACCACGCTTGTCGCGAGACCAATCTGAAATAGCTTAATCTTAATTGTACCCGTTTTGGTAGTTCTGCAGCTTATCGTAAATTCCGCAACCACGATTTATGCAACCTTTGCATTCAATACATTTTATACCACCAAAGAACCAAACAAAAAGATTGGGAAGTTTTTCGTTGTTGGGCCAAAGTTTTGAACTAATTTGTGTCTTGTTATTGCTATCTGGAACTCACTTTAGCCCCTCTTATTCTTCTCGACTCCTTTACGTTCAAAAGCTTTGCATCAAGTATCAGTTCGGGAACAAGATTGGGAAGATATTCAGTATTTTGCTTAAAGTTTCAATCCATCTTATCATACAGTGTCTATCCTGGAACTCACTCTAGCACCTCTCATTCTTTTCCACTCTCTTGTCTTTAAAACCTTCGTATCGAGTATCAGCTCTTGAACAAGATTGGGACGTTGTTTGGTGCTAGATCAAAGTTCTAAGGTGATTTACATAATATATCGCTGTTCTGGAACTCACTCTAGCACCTCTGATTCTTCTCAACTCTTTTGCCTTTAAAACCTTCGTATCGAGTATCAGCTCTTGAACAAGATTGGGACGTTGTTTGGTGCTAGATCAAAGTTCTAAGGTGATCTGCATAGTATATGGCTATTCTGGAAATCACTCTAGTCCCTCACCTTTTTCTTAACTCCTTCACCATTAAAAGCTTTGCATCAAGTATCAAGCTCAAGAACAAGATTGGGATAGTTGTTTAGTGTTAGATTAAAGTTTTGAGGTGATCAGGTATGGCTGTCCTGGAGCACACTCTAGCCTCTCTAATCCCAAACCCTTCACCTTCAAAAGTTTTGTATTGCGTATCAGTTTGAAAACGGGGAATTGAGGGCAAAGATGATTAAGAAAGAAAAGTAGAGAAGGTAGACCGGACAATATAAAACAAAAGAACAATTACAAAAAAGAAAAACTACCGTTAACAGGACTCTGGGCTTGAGAAGAGAAAGGGAAAAGGAAAAATGACAAATGGTGGGACAAATTTCGCACGGTTACGGCAGCGCAAGTGCAAAATAGAATTGAATTGCCTACGGTAGTGCGCACAATTTAAGAAGGAACAACAATAGAAGATCAAAATACTAGCTTATCACCCTGAATGCTGGCTGATGGTTATTCACAGGTGATGCCAATTGGGTGAAATTTCGTTCCACGGATGGAGCTTCTTCATGCGAGACGTTGTCTGGTTTGTAACTCAGTTACAGATACAGTTGTTTCTGCCTTTCCCCTCCACTCTGCCCGTCTGACGCTAACAGAAAAGAACAGAAAAAAGAGGTCCTTTCCTTTCCCTGTCACTATGATTCACTTCTTTGCATCTATTCCACATACACACAAAATACTCTTTCTCCTCTTAATTCCCTTTTTACATACCGAATTCAGTATTTCCTTTGAATTTTATCATTGCAGATGCCGAAAGCCAAACTCACCGACTTGTTGAGTTCATTTCGACGGAAATCCAAACACCTTCAAGCTGGAGAAGCAGCAAAAAAGGGCAACTCTCCTTCCGTTGAACAGAGGTGAGACAAAAGTTATGCTAAATAAATAATGCATTAGACAGATGTTCTTCTGTTAGCCAAGCAAACTTTTATTTTACATTTTGCGACTGGAAACTTTAGCAAAGCCTTTGGGCGAGTTTTGGAATCTCCATTAAATTTCCGTTTCTCTACATATCAAATGTCAACAATATGAATTTAGCGTAACGGCTGGATCGGTTCCAGCTTGCTCACTTTCCGTTCAACACGACGATCAGCTGTCTACACGAGTTAATAAGGCGACAAAGCGGCTTTGGAATTTTGGACGCCAAAAGAAGGTTAATTTTAGTTTCATATAAATTTAAGAAGAAAGTTAAATTGTTAGCAAAATTGCAATGATTTTGCTAAAAATTTAACTTTCTAGTTCACTTTTCCAGGCGGGGAAACTCGTGAAAGAAACGCTCGAAGTGCCACTAGCCGGAAACGCCTTCATCACTCACCGGTCACCCAGTGCATCAGAGACGATTTGTGAAAAAGGCCTAGTGCATTGGAACAATGCGGCAACGGTGATCAGCGCCTTTTTCCGAGTCAGCCACCCTGGCCACTTGAGCCTGGGCGTGAAAGCAAAAGCCGCAACGAGGAGCATGATAAAAGTCTGCTTCAACGGAACCGCCAAAGACATCAGCCTCAACGGAACATCGTTTAAATATTATCATGTCGGCGATTTCCCGATTTCCACTCCGGGTTATATCAAAGTGGACATTCAAGGCGTGGGTGAAACTCATACAAATTTCGGCGAACTTTCCCATATTGTTGCATCAGGAGAGGCCGTTTCGAGCCAATGCATCTACTCGAATAACCCAGAATATTACTATTGGGCACGCCGGGGACCGTCTTGTCACCTAAACTACACGATTCCTACAGACGAACACATCAGTTATTATTACAACGAATTGGTGGTCCCGGAAGGCCACGACCGAATCGGCTCCTACTTCATGGCGATTGGTTTCGCCGAGGGGTATTTCGGCGTTCAGGTGAACTCGGAGTGCGAGAGGAGAATTCTCTTCTCCGTGTGGAGTCCGTGCGAGACGAACTGCCCGAAAGATGTTCGCAAGGACTATCGAGTCACCCTGAACACGGCTGGTCAAGAAGTGCACACCGGGGTGTTTGGCGGTGAGGGTGTCGGAGGGCAAAGCTACCTGAAATCTCACTGGATTGCCGGCAGAACCTACAAATTCTTGCTGAACGCGCGGCCGGACAACAGCGGCAACACGGATTACACCGCTTGGTGGGCACCGGGAAACGGGGAATGGAACTTGCTTGCCAGCTGGAAACGCCCAAAAACGAGCACGTATCTAAAGGGCTTCTACAGCTTTGTCGAGAATTTCAACCCCGACTATGGGCATGAGCACCGGAAAGTCGAATTTGAGAACCAGTGGGTGAGAACGGTTTCCGGAAAATGGCTTCCCGTATCGGAGGCTCAGTTCAGCGTCGACGCCACTTACAATAAACAACAACGTGTGGATGCCGCCGGTGGAACGAATGGAACATCGTTCTTTCTGGCTAATGGTGGCTTTTTCAGTCACTCCGTCCCTCCAGGCAGCTCTTTCTCCGTGCCGTGCCCCAATCAACCCCCAGAGATCAGCCTTGGAAATGGCTGCTCCCGTTGCCGACCCGATCTCCCTTCAATCGCGACGAGCGCTCAGCAGAGATGTCTGTGCACGGCTTTTCTTTGGTGAGTAGCAAGTTTCATTATTAAAAAAGAATTGCTGTCATTGCAGAGTAAAAGTGCTAAAAGTCTTTCACAAGTGTGGGGGCCCGATCGCCGACAAGGATCGAATCTTCAGTGTGCCCGGAGACGGATATCAGGAAATGTTGGCTCCTGTTCACACAGATGTTATTAGGTTGGAAAGAAAGTTCTCGGAAAAAGTTTGACTGGAATTTCTTAAAAACGAATTCACTAATTCGAGAACATTTTCTACTATTATTTACTAGTCGACTCCAAGAAATTACTCGTAAAAAAAAGGAGTGCAGCTTTTCCTTAAAATTTTAGAGATTTTAGGAAAAGTATTACTTTTCAGCTTAAATTCTGATCACTTTTAGCGCCAAAAAGAGAATTCCTTATGAGGTAAAGCTAGGATAAATGAGCAATAAGCTCTATAATCTCTATTTTTGACCAAAAATTTTTTTGATGTCATCTTCTTGGCACTGAGTATTTGCTAAAATAGATGATTCTGAAAAGTTAAAGCATCAGATAAAATTTGCCTTAATCACAAATTTTCCCTATTTTAAGTACTCGATTTTCGATTTTGAATGAGACCCATTGCCTATTAGCCCATTAAAAACTTGTCTAAAGGCTGGTCACTCAAAAAGTGACCAAGTCACTTCAGCTAAAGAAATCGCTTATTTTTTTTAAACTGAAGTTCACTCTGATTTTTTTAAGCTTATCAACAAATTTGGGAAGAATTCATGACTTGGTTTTTGAGAAATCATGGTGCAAACTTTTTTGCCAACTTAATACTTGAATTAATAACAATAAGTATCTATTTATGACGGTAAGAAGTTGGTGGCTCCATCTCTCCACTGTCTTTATTTTACTCATTGGAAAAGTTGTTTCCTCATAATCCCAGACACTTTCAGCTTATTCAACGTCGATGGCTCTAATTTGTGCTTGGACAAACAAGGAAACCTGCGAGGAGCGTAGGCCGAAGGGAAGTCCGTCGAATAAAACTTGGTTGTATTTGCCAAGCAGCAAATGAACTTTTACAAAAATGTAACAAACCGTGCAATGAACAAAGACAAGAAAACTTTCAAAATCGTTGAAACGTGCAAAATTGTCGAGGAATCGACTTTTCTCTCTTCAACATCTTGGCTTATCAACAGCATCGCATGTTGTAGCCAACTGCAATTGTTCGGAGAGCTTCTTTCATTCTGTCGAGGGTCTTTTGAATCCCTGACGGACTGATCGTACTTCTGTTGACCGAGAGAAACGTCTAGAAAGAGGCAAAGTTTTGAGAAGAAAGCTCTTGCATTCATTTAATCTTATTTTTTCAACTCTGATAACCGTGTAATTATTGTATTGATGTGCTACGACGGCAACGACTGTAATTGAGTTACTTAAAACATTAATGAAAAATTACATTTGATGATGACTAGTTGTATTGTGTGGTATGAGTTCCACCTTGTGTAGAGCTTGGTTTGAGGAAGTAGGGAAGTCTCTTCACCAATAGCTTTCGGAAAAATAAACAGCTTGTTTCCTTTAAGACTGTGGAAGAGATACTCTACAACAAATGCGGCACTTTCTTTAGTTGTCCTCTTCTGTTCTGTGTCGCTTTACAGGGGCTGGAAAATGGAAGCGTGAAGCAACGCTCGTGAAGCAATTATTCTCTAGATTGATTTGAGAAATTCTTCAAACATACACAATTCAAAATGACACAAAATTTCATTGTTAACGCCCCAAGAATCCTCCTTAAAACGCTCAAATTCGACTTTATTCTTTATAAAAATTGTGGATATGAGAATTTCAAAGACTACGTGACGAAAATATTGGATTTCAATTGAAATTCATCAAGTTTGACAGCTGTTCACACAAAAATCCACATGTTTCAGTGGCTTTTCGATCGAAAAATCCACCGGAAGAGAAAAATGATCTTAGAGAATAAGGATATTACTGAAGTAAAGATAACTTCAAACTAGGAAACACGGATTTTGAAAGATTCTTTAAGAAAAAAAGTATGATGAGATGGAAATTATCGATCGGAGTGGATCTACCGAACTTGAAGAGATCGATTTGAGATTTCCATTTGAATACAAAACTTCTTTTTTATCATTCCATGATGTCCAAGATCCAATAATCTTTCTTGGGGTTACTTTTCGGTATGATTTGGCCATTGAATTTGTTTGTTATTCACAATTAATGTGTTTGAGTGTGGAAAAAGATGTGTTTGGTGGAAAAGTTCAAGTTTTAAGAGATAAACAAGAATATTTTGAGTTCTATGATCTGTTTTGAGGTTTGTTTTTGTGAGAAATAAATTTGTCAATCTATTGAAAACTTTGAAAAGGTGGAAAATTTATTAGAAAACTTTGAAATTAGATGTATCTGATAGTCAATTAAAGAAAAGATTTTTTTTTGAAAAAAAGAACGGATTCTGATATGATAACAAAGTGATTATTCAGTAAAACATTACAAAAAGGCTCTCTTCTTTGTTTTTTCGGAATTCATCATAAAAGCAGCTATTTCTCGGTATCTCTTATCAAAAATTTCTTACCAGAAATTGAAAACAATAAATAACAAATAAATAGCAATCCCATTGTCTTTAAACAATTTTTCTTCCACTATTTTATTGCCCTACTTACAACTTTGAAGGTAAAACTCAAGGGTAAAACTGAAGTCTAACTGAAGACTGACTTTTTGAAGTTCAAGCAAAGAATTGTAGTGCTTTGAACATTTTTCTTTCTTACAGGCCTGGAAACTCCGCAAATCATGACAATCCGCCAGCAAGACGGCATTCCCCATGTAATCTCAAGTTCCAGCTTCACTTTTAAGCAATGGAGAAAAATGGCTGATTTGCCTTCACGACTATTCTTTTCTTTGGTCTTCCTTTTTTGAGCTCGCATTCTGGGCACAACTTGACAAAAATTTCGATTACTCCTTTTGAGATCCCATGATAGTCTCGTAGTCCTTGCCACATTATATCTCGTCCGGCGTGCCCAAGTCGTTGGTGAGTGGTCGTTAACAGGCCAAAGAGCTCCTCTTTCTTGACGACTTTCTTGGGTTTGTCCAAATCGCCTTTGATCCCATGATTGTAAAGCACCTCTTGATTTAATTCGTATCGAAGAGAAAATCGCACTACAAGTTTTTGTGTTTTTTTCGATGATTGGAAGTCTTCATTCCGCAATTGTTGGAGAACGGTGACGATTTCCGCGTATTTCGATCTTGAAAGAATCAAACTTCGCTTTTGATTTGATTGAAAGTGAGAAAACTGCAGGTCGAATTCTTTCTCCATTCCTAAAAAACAAAAATTAGTGTAGCTTAAACAAAAAATGCACAGTAACAAAAAGAAAAAATAGGAATGAAATAAGGGGTTATGTTCGATTATAAACAGATTAGTGGTAAACAAGTTTTATCGATGATCCAACAAAGGGGTCAAATTGACTTACAAAAACAAACAATTCTATTTCAAATAAATGACGAATCAGATAGAAAATGACGAAAAGGGCCCTTCTATAGCCTTTGGTTAGAGTATGATAAAATGCGCACTCTTTAGAATGCGTTGAGTAGCTTTTAAGCGCCTTTTAGAGAGCTTGAGTTTGTGGTATTGACTTGAGTCAATACATAACTCAAGATTTCATCTTTGAGACTTAATCGGCTAGCCGAAGAAGGTTTCTCTAGCGAAAAAATTTGAGACTTCTTCGGCTGAAATCCTTCATCGGTTACGACACATAGATCTTACAGAAACTTGATTCTGTGAGTTCTATTAGGTTGGCAAGAAAATTCGTAGCACAAGTTTGCACAGTGATTTCTCAAAAACCAAGCCATGAATTTTTCCCAGATTTTTTGATAAAATAAATCAGAGTGGGCTTCGGTTAAAAAGCTGAAGTGACTTGGTCACTTTTTGAGTGACCAGTCTTTAGACAAGTTTTTAATGGGTTAATAGGCATGGGTCTCATTCAAAACCTAAAATCAAGTACTTAGAATAGGGAAAATTTGTGATTAAGGCAAATTTGATCTAATGCTTTAACTTTTCAGAATCATCTATTTTAGCAAACACTCAGTGCCGAGAAGATGACATCAAAAAATGATTTTTTTGAAATACAGCTTCTCGGTAAAAATTTTTTGGCCTAAAATAAAGATTAAAGAGCGTATTGCTCATTTATGCTACCTTTACCTCATAAGGAATCCTTTTTCTGGTGAAAAAAGTGAGCTGAATTTAAGCTATAATAATTTTTCAAAAATCTCTAAAATTTTAAGAAAAAGCTGCACTCCTTTTTTTTACGAGTAATTTCTTGGAGTCGACTTGTAAATAATAGAAGAAAATGCTCTCGAATTGGTGGATTCGTTTTTAAGAAATTCCAGTCAAACTTTTTCCGAGAATGTTCTTTCGAATCTAATAGCAAAATCCACAAATAAAAGATTGCGATATGCTGAAAATACCTTGTTTCATTGATAAGCTGCTTTACTGATGTGATTCGAAAAACAAAAATGATTTCACGTAAAGACAAGGTCAGCTCAAATGAAAAAACGACCTTCTTTGATAAACAGAGACAGTCGTTTGGCTTTCGTAAAAGAATTGATCCTCGAGACACTCAATTTCTTTTCGATTCTCCATTTTAATTTGATCCAAAAATGGATTTAAGCAATTTGTTTGTCTCCAGTTTTCCTGATAAGTCCTTGAAATTTCAATGTATCTTCCAATTCACTGTATTCTTTTTCTCCACATTACTGCCAAAAGAGTAGCCATCTCCCCTTCCAAGTCCTTCACCCACAAAAGTCATTCAAGTGTCGGCTCCATCCAAAGCTATCAGCCGATCAAAAACAGTCATCCACAAATTGACATCTCAAGTTATAATTTCTTGATCGACCGATCCCCACCCGGGGTTGTCAAAAAGGGGTAACCAATTTAGAACCTTGTTATATTCTATCATATTTAGTGGACAAGAAGCCGGCGAAGTACCCAAGTATGATTTCTCCGATGATAATCCCAGCAAAAAACAAACAATCGAGGTACATAAGCCAAGAAAGTTTTTTTTGAAACCATCTTACTATGTGCTTTTTGCTTAGAAGCCATCTATATTACTAAAGGATGATTTTTCAGGTCATCGATGAAGATGAAGTATATCCACACAAGTACACCGCGGCGCATCCAACTACAACAACTCAGCCAAGATTGGTAATGACAAAATTTAAGAACAATCAACAAAATACTCAAAAGCTTTGAAGAAATTTCACTAGATTTTGGTTCCTGATCTCCTAGCAACAATTGAGCCCCTATGTTACGTTATTCTTTAGGTTTCGATTGAGGCAAAAGTTGAATCACCTTCTATCTCACCTACAACAGCAACGATTAATGCAATTAAACTAAAAGATGAAAGAGAGTATCAATACCAAACAAGACCTAACTACTATTCAAAAAATGATACATCCATGGTTAGTTTTTTGCGAGTTTAAGCATTTAGCATAAAGTTGATTTTAGTCTTCGCTCATTGCTACTTTCACTATATTGCTGATCATCGTTACTGTGATTGTTTGGCTCAAATATTGCTGCCCCTTGAGAATCAGGTAAGGACAGATGGTGCTCTTTCTTTATCGAAAGTTTTAGGACAAAGAGGAAAGAGGAGATAATTCTTTTAGCTGATGAAGAGGTAAGTTGAGAAAGCAACAAATTTCACCAAAGCATTTCTTAAGCCAGTGATGTTGCGCTTGATTGGAAGTGGTGGATTTGGGCAAGTCTACGAGTTGGTCGGACAGAAACCGTGAGTATTCAGAGAAAGAAACGGAGCCAAGGGAAAGGAATTTAGAGCAGCTGTCATCAAAATCATGAACGCTTCACCGAAATTCTACGAAAGCGTTGAACATGAGTACAAACATTTGAAATTGATGAAACATCCCAATGTGGTCCGCTTGTTGCAAACGGAAAGAATGGAGAAGAGAGGCGAAGTCGGTATTGTGATGGAGTACTGTCAACGGGGAGATTTGAAAAAATGTAAGTCGATTCTGATACAATGAGAGTCAAAAGATAAGGAATAGATAATCTTAGTATTATTGGATCAAACGATCGTCTACTCGATGAAAACGGTGTACTATTGGACGGTCGAGCTGTTGGATGCACTTCAGTACATCTTCGAGACACACAATGTCATTCATCGGGATATCAAACCTGAGAAGTAACACATTACGTTTTTGCCAATTTATCAATATAATAGTGTTTTTATCACCGATAAGTGGTGTTTGAAAATTGGCGACTTTGGCCTTGCCAAATTCATCCAACAGACACAGACGGGCACTTTTGCCGGAACTCTTCGTTACATGAGTCCATTGCAAAGGGATGTTAACCAAGATGGAGCCGAGTCTTCAAGCGGTCGACTTTTGGTGAGGCAAAGAAACAAATAACTTTTTGGGTTGATGGATATGATTTGGCACGCTTTTTGAAACGAAATTTTTCTTCAATGAACAACTTCAAATCATGCGAGATATTTGCCATTATTTTGTATGATTTGTGCCCATTTTACTGGCAGAAGTGAACTGGCTCTCTCGTAGAAAATTCGTAATATTAGCCGAACACTAGAGGCCCTTGTGTCCTTGTAGAAATTCCTACAACATAACGTGTCGCAGATCTCCAGGTGGTAGATTTTCAATAGTTAGAGCAAAGTAAAGTAAATTTCCAAAAAGCAAATATGTTAAAAGAGAAAGTCCATTGTTTTCGCAAGAATGAATGCTCTCATGTTTGTTTACATCTCTGGAATTTAATTTGAAAAAATGTGCCAAGCCATCAACCCAATACATGTAATTGAAAGGATTCCCATCGCAACGATGTCTACGGTATTGGCTTGGTTCTATGGGAAATGGTGGAGAGGAGGTAACCAGTGAAATACAATTGAACGAGAGCCCTTTTTTGGATCTCTTCCATAGACTATCTTAGTTTGAATGAATCATTTGTATCAACGTTTGACTCATTTTAGAACCGTGCTTGTGGAATATGATCGAAACGGGTGGTTCGATCGAGATTTCTTCAATCAGGATGTCACCTCAAAGAAATTACAGAAAGTGGCTGCCCCCAATTGTCCTCGTCAGCTCCAAGAAATCATTGAGAAGTCAGATTCGCTTTCGACTCATTAAATCTCTCCATTTCAGATGTACAAATTTTGACCTCTACTCCCGACCAAAAGCTATTGAAATTTTCGAAGAAATGAAGCCACACAGAGTAGTCTTAAGAGTTAATCTTAAAAAAGAGAAATTTAGAGTGACTCGACGATTTCGAAGCTCCTTTTCTTGCCAATTGAACAGAAAAAACAAACGAAAACACTTCGTCCGATCGGCTTTGATGGCACTGACGCCAGAGTGCCTGTAGAAACAATCGACTTGACTATTACTCCTGTTTCCTCCTTTTAAAATGTTCAACTCTAAACAGCACCTTCATTATGTTCAAACAATCTTCTGTATATAAAAGCTAGATGAGAAAAATACATACATCGGAATGTACAGATTATAATCAAATTGAATAATGATGGAGATCAATCAAGTCTTGAGCACAATCCACGTTTTTGTTGCGTCCAACGGGAATATAATCGCTTTTTCAGAGAATCTTCTATTTGAAAAGTCCCAAATTGACAGAATCTGGTGATGGATCTAAACAGAAATTAGAGGTTTTTTTAAAATTGAAGACTTCAAAAAACTAGACAAGATATTTCTGAGTCTTTATCAGCTCTTTTCAATAACACCAATTCCTCAACTCACTTCTGATCTCAAGGCATTCCTGAACGCATCTCCTATTGATTGAACTTAAGCGAATGTATCCATCGTTGTATAAGCAATCTTTCAGTTTGAGCATTGGATGACAGGAAAAAAACAAAACCTAGAATGCTGTTTTCACAATCCGAATCACAACAAATCACCAAAAAAACCAGAAGAACAGGATCCATAGCACATAAGACCTCCCCCCAAGATGACAAAAGGTTTTGTGACGGCACAGGTAAAACTTGTTGTCATCTTGGGGGGGAGGTCTTATGGGCTATGAAACCCGTTTAGCGGACATTCTCATCACGGACATCTCGGAAATCCGTTGAACGATTTGTGTCGACTGTTATCGAATGCTATCGATTATTTAAAAAGGTTAGCCTTTTTGTTACGTAGTACAATTGGTTTAATTTTGCCGAAAACTCTCAAATCATGGGGAATCTCTACCGTAACCAAATCAATTCATACCGCTTTTGAGAAGATTTTTGATCTCACGAAATTCCATTTTAGTGCAAAAAACTTTTCTTTTAATTAAAATTTAGAAATTTTTGCGTAAAGCTTTGAAAAAGAAATGATTTTATAACCAACTACCAGTAAATTAGGAAAAAATTTGACAGAGAGCCGACAGGGCTGCAAAAAAATTGCAACAAAATACAAAAAGCTATCATGATGCTGTGAAAATCTCTAACTTTTATATCAAATTTGGTATCAACTCTTTAGTTTTTTGATGTACCGGAACAGAACTGAAAATGAATTTTCTTTTCTATTCCCATATCTTTCTTAGGTGTGTTTCTTGTTATCATAAAAATAATGCTCCTTTTCCCGTCGATTACTCATTTAATTCCCTTCCTTGGGCACACGTTGATCGATTCTGCATCTAGCACTTAAGAACCTTTATGGTTCTTTTCACTCTCAAAGTCACAAAGTATACCAGGGTTTCTTTTCTCAAAAAAAAGAGGCGTCGCAGCATAAATAGTAGAGAAAATCATATCGGTTCGACGTTTTAAACCATGCCCATTTTCTCCTTATTCTTTCTCTTCTACATAACTGCCACACACTCGTTAACAACGGTTTTCAATTTAAACACTCAATTTCCATCTTATGCTTTGCATGGAGTTAATTTGGATAAATGGAAGGTAAATAATTTGAGAGAATCAAAAAAGATTTTCCTCAATCACTAGCTGAGCACGTCTTTCTTATATAACCCTTCAACTGGTGCTTATTTTTATGTCTAATTCAAGTTGTTTCCTATGTTGAGTTTTAATCTCTAAATTAGAATCATAATTGAGTAATTGTGCTCAGCACTTTAGAGTATTCAAGTGAACGGTTGTGTCGATTGTGATTTCCTTGTCGATTTCTCTTTTCGCGTGTGCAACGAGGTGCCGAATGGACAAGAAGGAGTGAGTGATTTGAGGAGGGACACGAAAATGAGATCCTTTTCCCCCATTTAGCACTACACCGATTCGAACATTGTCATCTGCAAAGATCCATATCCATTCACAATCAACGGAAAACCACCATTGAATCCCCATTGTGAATGGCGGTCTGTTTGGTTGACAACGAACTTATCAAACAAACCTTTAGAGCTTTAATTGTTTTTCCGGTGGACTTAAACAACACCTGGAATAATCTCTATTCTTGCTCATATCGTCTAAACGGAGAGAAAAGTCTCATCGTGAGAGCTGTCTCGCAAAAAGTCTCTCAAAACGGTTTCGCCTTCTCATTTCGTGTTCGGCAATGGGTTAATGGTAGGGGAAAGGAGAGAGATGAAGAACCTATTAGGTTGGCCCAGTCTTTAGACACTTTCTTTCTACTAATGTTTATAAATGACAAATTCACCGATTGACCTACGGTTTCCTTCATTAGAAAGGGCTACTATTTTTCTATAAAATAATGTTCAAATCTTACGAAAATGTTTTGTTTTTGGTTTTTTATGGGGACGCGAAGCTGGGTAAAAAAGGCGACAACCCGAAAACGCAATTTAGATTTAGAGGCTTGGATCCACAGAAACCTATGTTGCTTTTAATAACTAAAAGATAAAGCGCAAAAAGTTAGGTATATAGCTGAATTTTCAGAATCTTCTATTCAACCAATTTCTTCGTAGAGATTTTTATAGATTTTTTACGAAAAACACATTTTTCACTTTTGAATTTGCTTGAAAGTGGATTCAAATCTTTTAAAAAGATCGAAGAATGAATAATAAACGTTTTCTATTCTATTTTATTTAAAGCCAATTGTAGTTTTGGTAATTTTGTTGCCATTTATAAACGCTAGTAGAAAAAAAAGTGCGTAAAGACTTATGAGTCCAACCTAATACAATATTACGAAACCAAACTTTATGCTCACCAGTTAGACATTTAACTAGGGGTAATCGGGGGTGATTCAATTTCTGAGCTGACGTTTTAATCTTAAAAATAAATACTATTGAAATTTGGATAACAGACCTGTTTTTTCGATAAGCACATTTTCATATGCAAATTTTTCTTTGCCATTTTCTCAAAACAAAGTGTTCAAGTGTTGAATTTACTTTAGAGTCGATCCCAATGTTCGTTCTACCGGTCAGTGACAATCAATACCTTGGAAACGAGTACTTTTTAGTCGAAAAAAGTACGATGGTTACTCTCGTCGCCAATCCGATTCTAGCACCGTTTGTCGAATTTCACTAGAAAAAACCTGGTTTTTTTTTTCTTTCATAAAGAAGTCCGCGCGTGAATACAGCGCTTATTCTGGAGATGCATGGTCGACTCGACGAGGATTACCAGGATGCGATCCCACTGTATGAGGTGAGATCAAGAATCAACTGTTTTGGCTTATAATGCAACGGTCTCGACTCGACCATTCAGAATCAATAAGAAACTCAATACATCTTGTTTTATGGTGAGCACGATACCCTAACGATTAGCCTCAATGCTGGTCAAATAATCCTCAACGCATCGTGCAATTTTTCAGCAACTTTTTTCATACTCACATCTCCATTGATTAATTTCTATTATTTTGGTATTTATTGCCTATGAAAAGATCTACACATTTGTATTAAAACCATAAGAATTGACCAACGGAGACGTGAGTTAGGCCAAGTTGCTAAAGAACTTTAATTGCGGCTGAATCAATTGGAATTTTTGGCTAAACTTGAGCGTTTCTAGAAAAAGCATTAATCGATGATTGAAACATGGCTTAATTCCCTAACCATTAGGCGGACATCACATGCAATTGGCCTTTCACCTATTCGGTTTTTGCCGGATCCGATCCGGGTCTGCGATGGCGAGAGTCTCTCGACTTTTCTCTCGATCAGTCAGTTCTCAAAAATAGCTTTTCCAAAGATCTTCAGGGCGACAATCTATTCAACATCCACCGTCGTCACTCTTCTCGGCAATGACTACTGTACTTTTACGGCTCTTATTAGTCTGTGAATTGGCTTTTCGATTGTTTTTCTTGATTTCAGTGCCAGAATACCTGGAAGCGCTCCTCAATTATCTTCCAACTTATCTTACATCATACAGTTATCCATGGCCTTTCGATAATCCAACCGATTACCCACGATGTCAACAGGCTCGAGCCGATTTCTCACCGTTAATTGTGGGAATTTTAAACAATTAGGATCTTTTAGTCCAGATGTCTATAGGAGCATGTAGTTGACCTCTTTATCCTCAACTATTCCGTAGATTGACTGAGTTTTTAAAATTTTATTTGACAGTGAAAAGAACTTGTGAAAAAGTTGTGAATAAACGAGACCACGTCTTTTACCGTTATGCTCCTAAAGACATGCAGCCGAGAATCCCCAGTTGGGCATAAAGGGTTTTCCATTATACTCCTATAGACGTCTAGACCAAAAATACCATTCCCACGATTGGGACACGAGTGAATTTTAGTCAAAAACCGAGCGCCGCATCGCCATTGATGTGATCAAATTGGAAAACGGTACTCTCAAACTGTTTTATGGCACAAATCCATCAAACGAAAAGGGATATTGCACGAATCCGAAAATCGAATCCAAAAGCATCGAGTTTGTGGAGATTAGCAGAGATTAGCAAAAATGAGATCATTTCAGTCTCGTCGATCAACAAAAAGTCGCGGTTTCAGCGGAATGCTTTCATGTGAGATCGTTTAGAAAGCGAATTCGAAAATATTGTAGCTCGAGTTTTGTCCCCTTCAAAATGGCACAAAAGATCGTTTTGGTTTTGTGGTGAAGGCGAGTCGAGCGCCGGTCGATCCGAAACTCGTCGAATGCAAGCTGACCCACATGTTGAGCACCGAGAACCCGCAAGTTCTCCTCAACGTCAGAAATATCTACTTCCAAGAGGGTTCGTTTATTTCTTTGTCTTTTGGTACTTGTGTTCTAGTGGGCTAAGGCTTAGTTAAAGTTAAATTAACAATTAACTTTTTGTAAATAGGCCCAGATGACTGTCATTGTGATAATTCTTAAAGAAAATTCAGCGATTTGTCCGGAAAATATTTTAACTTGATGAGCGTCTTTAAAATGTAAGCAGAGATGTTTCTAATGCAAATTTTGCGCCCACCAAATGTCCAAACACTTTTTTGAAATCATATTTAAAAAGTGACTGGTACGAAGCCAATTTGTGTGGAGAGGAAATGTGGAAATGCTTCGAGTTGTCCGATCATCATTGATCTTTCATTTGCTTGTTACATTGAGGATGAGGTAGCAGAAAAGTGCCACTCTTATTTGTTTTTCTTGTAGAACCATTGCATCAACTCATCCCCATACACAATCAACGGTGAACGTCCAGAAATCAAGGATTGGGAGATTCGGTGACAAATCTTTCTCTTGATTTAACTCTTTCTTTCAGGTACACATCTCGACGTGTATATTTTCTGCTACAGGCTCGCCTCGTCAAAGAAAGCCGCGTCTATTTGAGTTCGGATGCCGATTTTTCGAGCCCTTTGTATGGGGGCTACTCATTCCGATTGCCCAACACAACGCTCGGTTTGTTTACTCAACAGGGTTTACAGAGAAGAATTTTTGTCCTCCATTCTAAAAGGCACTGCTACCGTAACCCGTGCGATTTTAGTGAAAAATTATGGCCAGTTTGAACAGGATCAAAGTTATAAAAAACTACGAAATTTCGGTTGTGATCGAATTGGACCGAATGCTCATGTCTAGTGATTTCCCCTTCCTTTCAGATGAGACGAATTTCTTCTTCTTCCCCGTCAACGATTTCCTTCACATGCGTGAATTCGGCTTTAGATTCGCCGAGTCGCCACGCGGGACGTGGTTTTCGATGGTTTTAGTATTCGAGGATAGCCTGCAACTGAGAAAATTTCGCGGAGTAAGCAGATTTAACGTTTAGTTCCTCTGGAGAACGCTGGAGATTTGACGGAAAAAGCCAAGCTATGGTCTTAAGTTATTTATCGCTTTCCACGATATGCAAGTAGTGTTAGCAAAACATTGAACGATGATCATAAAGAGTACTGGAGCAATGACCTCCCGTTTACTGCAGACATTTTCTGGTTTTCAACAAAAGCCCGGAGAAACTGTCTTTTAGGATCACGGGAATCGCTCGTGCGAGTATCAAATAGTGCACGGGCCACCCAGTAACTTCCTTGGCCATCCCGAGCTTCTATTGAACACGTATCGGTAAGTTTTTCAATTTTTCGGCTAAAGTCTCAAACAGAGTGTTCTCCTCAAAAGACACCTAATCTCTAGAACAATAGTAATCAAAGAATTAGTTTTAATTGAAGCGCTGGCTGACTGAGTATTGTGATTCCTCATCGATTGATACTAAAATTGAGCTGTTTGGACCATTGAGAATTAGAGGAAGAGGTTTTTAGCCGATGTAGAAAAGAGCACCCAAATTTCCATGAGTCTTTAGTGATACCGATGTCTTTCAAGAGCAATCTCTCACATCTCTATCCTACAGTATCTACATACCACCTGGATGTGCTCCAAGTGTTGCCCTCAGAACCTATCCCTGTAAATTTTGACGGTACTTTGCTTGTTTCATTTCTTTCTCGTACAGCAAGCAACGATCTGACACTTCGTAATTGTGGTGGGACGGTGTTTTTCGCGGCTCTCGACGATATCCCGTTGAACCAAATAGAAGCTGCCTATTTTTGCGGTCAAGTCTATTCTTTTTATCTTTCTTTTCTTTACCTGTAGACATTTGCACTTAACCGAGTCCCGCCCCAGATTCGGATCGGAGTCGGAAAATTTGTGCCGGTTCGATTTGGTAGTAAACTTTACAAGGCATCTGGTAGCAAGATTGTGTGAAAGCCATCAAACTTATTGTATTAAATTTTGAAGATAAGATAATAAGTTAATTTTTATTGTAATTGTAGTAGACAGATGAAACTTGATAACAAAAGTTGCACATGGCTTAATCACAATGCACCCACTGAGTGCTCAACAAACATCATGTTGTTTTTCCTTTTCGATTAATAGGGAACATATTCTGTTTGTTTTCAGATTCTTTCCCCGTCAACATATCGTTTCAAACAAACTCTATTGGATTCGGTCAAATCTCGGTTCAATATCGGAAGAATTTCGGCGACGATTGGATAGATAGCGAGTTGGCTTCTTTAAAATAACAACTTATTTTTTGAATTTGATTCAATTCTCTTTTAGCGTCAACACGACACTTTCGAATGTGCGAGCGGTTCAGGTAAAAGGGAAAAGAGTGAGAAAATTGATTGTGAAATACTTCAGCTTCAATGTACCATTGTGTCCAAATGGGAGAAATACAAGAGATGTTTCGCGAAGATTCATTTTGTCCGTTCTTTCGACAATGGATTCGACGATCGATCACCGGTAACCCAAGATCCATCAAATCAAGCTGAGAGCTGCGCCAATCCCATCTCTTTTTTTACATTTACTCTTTCACTAGACATCTTTTTCTTTCTCAACACTAGCCGGTAGCTTTTTTCAATTTTTCAACTCAAAACGTTTGATCGTTTGTAGGCTGTAAGCCCTAGTGATTCATATTTCCTTATTGATAACACGTCGCTTTCTTTCCCATTCTATTTAACTTTTATGGATACGTGACTACTGTGATACCCATTCATGAAATTAGTTAGTCTGTCTTTGCAAACTAAATAGTTGAAATAAGTACCGTAAATACTGTAATTGGACACCACCCCTCTAATGGTACCCCTCCCCCCCCCCCCCCCCCCCTCAAACCCCCCCCCCCCCCTAGTCCCCCCCCCCCCCCCTATTCCCCCCCCCCCCCCCCTTTGGCCCCCCCCCCCCCTAAGGGGCCCCCCCCCCAATTACAAAAACTCTTTTAGGGGTGGAATTTTTTTTTTTTTTTTTTTTTTTTTTTTTTTTTTTTTTTTTTTTTTTTTTTTTTTTTTTTTTTTTTTGGTGGGTTTTTTTTTTTTTTTTTTTTTTTTTTTTTTTTTTTTTTTTTTTTTTCTAGTTGGGTATTTTTTTTTTTTTTTATTTTAAAAAGCTCAAAAAGTAAAACCAAGTAACACCAAAATTGTTCCAATTTTGGCTGGTATGGCCTCTTTGGGGGTTTGAATGGGGGGGGGGGTTGTGGGGGGGGGGGGGGGGGGGGGGGGGGGGGGGGAGGAAGGGGGGGGGGAGAGGGGAAGGGGGGGGGGGAGGGGGGGGAAAGGGGGAAGGGGCGGGGAATTTTTTTTTAAAAGTCATGGCTGGATGGAGTCGCTCTTGAGGCGCCACCAACTTTCTTTGAGGGCACCAACGACAACTTGTCAAAAGCTGCCGAGCGAATTTGAGAAGGCCATCGTCAAGCACATTCTGAGGCTGAACAAGACAAGCACATTGTTGCTTGCGATGAGACGGCGGTTTGGCTGGATGCTTCGACGAGCAAGTGCATCGAAGCGGTTGGAGCCAAAGAAGTTGGTGTCCTCACCCGCGGCTACGACAAGATGAATATATCCGTGATGCTCTGATGGGAAAAAGTTGCGCCCTTTTGTCGTGGTGCATCGGAAAACGATGAACGAAAAAATCGAGACAAAGCTCCAATCAAAGTCATTGCTCTGTTGGAAAGAGAAGAAACGCAAGTGCTTCGATAATGAGATCACGGCGGAATACTTGTAACGCTCTTTCGGTGGACTGATCTTTAATCTATTGTACTTACAGGCGATGAGAAATGCTTGGACAGAGGCAGAAATCGAGGATCTCTTGGAACCGCTCGCATCGACGGGATTTCAAGGGCATCGAGGAATTGATGAGCAAGAAAATGATGAATTCATTGATTCACATGTTTCTATTGATTTAGCTTGTGAGTTGGTTTTGTTTCGTTTTGCTGTTCAATTTTCAAATGGTCAAAACCAATAAAAACTAAAGTAAAAGTTGGCTTTTGAACAAATTATTTAAATGTATCCTGATTTGGTAACTTGAATAGTGGTGTAAAATAGTAACCCACCCTCTAATAGTGCCCCACCCTCTAATAGTACCCCACCCTAGAGGGGGAGGGAAAAAATAGTACCCCATGGGGTCCAATTACAGTATTTACGGTAACTTGTTCGGATGATGAGAATAAACACTTTTTGCAAACGATTGACTTATGAACTTATGAAAAAACTCTCAAACAAAAACGTTTTCTAAAACTAAACTCAACTTTTTGCTCATTTTCCTGTCTTTATCACAAAGTTTTTGTATTCTTCTACAGCTTTATTGATCCAAAGATAAACATTTCAAAAAGAGGCACTATAACACGTCTCACAAACATGGAATTGAACATTTACATTCAACAAAAATCCTATCTGATTCGATTTGATTCATTTCCGATTCGAAACCATGCCTTGAACAGCCTCACGTGCGGTTGCACGCTACTAACAAAACTCAAGATATCTAAAAACTAAGAGTGGCCTCGTGCGCTGAAAAGATCATCTTCTCGCCGATATTTGATTGCAACTGCAACGAAAGGATTTTCCTTAATTAAATTGGCTTCAGAAAATAGATTTTCCGGACCAGATCAGGGTCAGACTCAGCCTCCTTGAATCAGGCCGAAACATTATGATGGCCTTGATCGAATTCAGGTCATGTTATTGCATTCTAGTGGTAAATTTTGCACTAATTCGATCTTGGAATCGAACCCGGGATAGCTTAGTCGATCAGCCGACTAGGACACGGACGGCACATCGGGTACAAAGGTATTTTGGTGAAAATCAAAAAATCCGAGTCCTAATAATTCTAGTGTGTTATCTAGATAGAAGCAAAAACGAAATTTAAGTCAGATTGCTCTTGCCATTTTTTCGGAATAATCGCGAACTTTTTGCAGAACTAATTTATAGGCTGCTTAGAGTTATTTTATTTTAATCTCGTTTTTCTTCTATCTGGATATCACACTAGAATTATTAGGACTCGGACTTTTGATTTTCACCAAATTATTTTTTTGCTATTTCGTGTACCCTACTGGATCAGTTTCGTACATCCTTGGCTTCCAGTTTGTTAAAGAGTCAGCTCACGAGCCAGACCTAAGCCTTGGTTAAGTTTCTGAGCTCAAGTTATAGGAAGCAAGAGCTACTGGATCCCTGTTTCATTTCCGCAATACAATTTAAACTTTATTTTCATGTAATTGATAAGTTCATTTTTTTTCTTGTGTCTATAAACCGACAAGTAGCACAAATTCTGCTTCTCGAGGCCGAGGAAAAGGAAGAGGAAGAGGAAGAGGACGACCTCCTCGGACTTTCCACCTCCACCACTGCCAGCATCGATCCAGGGTTGTCAATCCAACAAGGTTGTCACCTGAGCGGTTGAAAGAGCCTGTTGTGATCTTGGGGAGAGTTCTTATGCGCTATTTAATAGAAATAAAAAAGACATACCGTGCGTTGCGTACAGCTTGATGTTCTTGATGACGTGATATGTATCAGACCGGAGCTGCTGGACTAGCGAATTACCGAGAACGAAACAAAAATTTAACGGTTATTTCTCCATAACCACCTAACAAAACTCAGCGAGTTACAATATCTTTTGTCCAAGCCCCAAGATAATTAATTAAACAAAACCTGCCTTTTAAAAAGAGAAACCGCTACAGCAAGACACCAATCATATGCCATTTAACCGGCACTTTCAGGTGAAATTATTTATTGCACCGATAAAATCAATGTGATCGAAGTAACACAAAATAATATTGAAAAGTGATACAGCTTCACAAATGCATAAAAAAATCCAGCTTCAAATTTGCAAAATCAAGATAAAACACATCGCTCCTTTCACTCTTCAAATCCACCTTCAAGTCCTTGATAATCCTCTTTGTCAACTGCTTCAGTCAATTTCTAAAACTTGAAAAGGTGAGTCACAAAACTTTTAAACTCACCTTGACCTTATCGTCATATCGACCCAAATGAGGCATGAGTTTCTCCGAAATCGTCTCAAAGTCCTTTCTCAGTTTCCTAAACCGGATTATTAAGGATTCAAAGACAGAAACTTACGCGCATTTTTCAAATGTCTTCTTTGCTTCTCGAAATGTCGAAATGCTCTTACAGTTTTCTTCTTTCTTCAAAAGTCGCGTTGCCTCATGAGATAGATGCTCCTCAATACGGCAAACTGGACAAATCAAAACGGGAAAACCATTTGTCAATTAAACCACTAACCGTCGAATGGCATTCATTACAGTGATACATCTCGTCAATACTGCGCTGGAAGTTGACTTTATTAATTTAATCTTTCAAACTATACCGTCTTCTGGCAATCACCACAAACACGAGGATTCCTCACTCCTTCCATTTGACGTGTCATCATTGGCAATTCATTCAAGAAATCTAACGGATGAAAGTTCTTTTAAATTATAGCAATTACCTTGAAATCGATCAACCATCGCATCACCCTTGGACGCGGTACCTTTGCTACAAATTGGGCAAGTAAACTGGTGGGGAAATTCCTTTCTTTCTTCCGCATCCGTGTTTGGCATGCGATTCTTCAGATAACATTTCGTACAGACAAGGTGATTGCAATACAGTGAATACGATTTCTTTCCGTCAACTTGATTCGAATCTAAATTAAACACAAATGTTCAACCAAAATGAATACTTTATTCCCCAAATAAACAATGAAACACTTACATTCATCATGACAAATTGGACATTCGGGAATTTTGAAGGGCTAAACGAAACTGATCTACATAAAGAGCAAGAAAGACCTTGACAAGCAAATAACCATCTCCAAAAGGTGAAAGTTTCAAGGAATCTTCTTGCGACAGAACATCTAAATCGGAAATACAAGTAAATAATATTTTTATTTTTAAAAAGCTGCGCCGTGTACACTTTAAACAAAACAAATTCACTTACCAATCAGGTAAAATGCAAAATTGCGATTGTTAAAGCAGCCTTCCCGAACACATTGATGTTTCCTCTCCTCTTTCTCCAGCAGCCTCTCCTTCTCGAAACATTCGTGACACATCGCCAATCCGCAGTATAAATATCGTGGTGATCGAGCCTCGTTGACCTTTCGAGTAACTAAAAGTAACAAATTAACACACTGCACTTAGGCATGTAGTATTCCACAGAATTAAATAAAACGCGTAACTTACATGGCAACTTGCAGACAACGCAGTTGAGAGACCGAAAGACTTCCATTTCCTGAAAAGAAACAATGATCAGGGTACTTCCTGAGTAGCGGCGGGGGAGGGGGGGCCATTTTTTTCAAAATCCACTTTTCTGGACCAGTTTTTCATGCTGATTCCGAATTTCGATATCTCAAGTCCGGAAAATGCGGTTTTTATGATCGAAAATCACTTTGAAAAATATGCATTTTTTAAGCGGTTTGACCCTTTTTCGATGCAAATTTTCGGTTCCGATTCAGATGAATTTAAAATGTATGAAAAACTAGATTTTGAAAAAAATTGGCCGATTAACAAACAAGAAAAACAACCGCTTAAGCTTCTAAAAAAAGACGCAGACGAAAAGAGAGAATGAAATTTTGCTCACTTTCCAGGGTTTTATAGAAAATTAAACAAACATTGAATACTCGGTTAAATGATCGAATACTTTCCGACACATTTTCATTTCCAAATGTACGGTGTTTCCTTTCTTAAGTGCAATTTAGGAAATGTTTTTTGTTGTTTTTTGTGAAGCAGTAAGTTTTGTTCGTTGAAGTTTACTTTGGCTTCAAAAGCGGAGAAATTTTCTCTTCTGGTGCATCCGTTTTTCCTCGACAACCACAACCTCAACATCAGCCTCGTAAGTTTAAATGCTCTTCGGCAAAGTTAAACTTCTATAGCGTACAATGACGTGAGTGGTATAAAATGGGTTTGCTCTCCTCGGAATCGATTTCGGTTGCTTAAATTGAATGAATCTCACAATTAACTATACATATGAAAGCTTGCTACAGTACCTAAATTGACAATGGATTACGCCTTAACTAATTTTACTAAAAAGAGGACAAAGCGGAAAACATCGACGTTTGAAAACTTTCTACACAAAAAGAACTTTGACGCCTAGACTTTAAATAAGAAATGACGCCAAATTAAATAAGAAATCTCGATTAAAGAAGTCCGACTTAAAGTAGACGATGAGCACGTGCTCACCAGAGAACAAATTCAAGAAAAAAGGGATTGCAAAGAAGAGAATCGACGAGGAGATGTCCATCAAGAAGCTCAATAACATCTAGGTAAAAAGCTTTTGAAATAGATTCAAGCCTAGAAAATGAGCGAATCAATTCAAATTCACATCACGAGGCCTCAAATTTAGTACGTTTACAAAAGCTGTACAAATATCAGTCTTCCTACGCAATTCTAACTTTAGATCGAACTCATTAATGAAAAAGTTCATCTCACCACGACACTGAAACCACAAAGCCACGGCAAAGAAGTAGCAAAAGAGATCGCAAAACTGGACCGGTGCAAAAGTGAGCTTCTACGCTCAGCAAGAAGATCTGAGCCACAAAAAAAGCCAGACGACGTTCATCAAATACTCCAAAGAAAGCCTAGGTGCCAGTAATCAAATAATCTAGGCTGGGAATTTAAATTAATTTATTGAAATGAAAAATGAACACTCCGTTTGATACAAGTGGTTTGAACACTTAAGCTAATAAAAAAACCAACACAATATTTAACAAAAAAACAAAGTGTTTTAAAAACTTGAAAAACAATTAGTCAAAGAAAACTCGATGATATTAGGCTAATAAGCCAAAGATTTTGATGTATCAATGTTATTTTAATGGTTGATGAAGATCGATAAGGTTATTCGTGAGAAGAGCATTCAGTCATCGTAGAAGATCGACTGAAAATAATAATTTGAATAATCATTTCACTGTCTAGCTAGATAAAGTCCATTCTGAAACTTACATTTCCCTGTGGGACTCCTTAGAGGACTTTCTGACAGAAGAGAAGATGTCCTTTACATCCATCTTCCACACACAAGGCCTTCTACCAATCCTGAAACATTCAACTTTTCAGTACCTATTATATCCTTTATTCACCTTTCTTTTTCTTCCCTCCAGACTTGGGATTTGTTCACAAAAGATTGCTCATGAGCCAAGAATTTGTGGACTGTGTGATTGCATTCAAGCTGTAAAATTTGAGTTGAGTATTCTTTTATAATCAAATACCCAAAAAGAATTCTTGAGTTCATAAGTGAACTCTTTTCCACAATTGACACATCGCTTCTGGGTGAGCTCTGGTTGTGGGATTGGTTGTGTGGGTGGAGGTGATGGGGCTTCGGGAAGAGGCGCGGGGGTCCACGGGGTAAAGCGTAATCTGAACAATTAAGGTAAGAGCATCTTTACTGCGTGGGTTTTGAAAATTTTCAAAACATTGGTAATGATCAATTTCTTTGTTTTGAATGCTCTAGTTCAACTCACTTTTGTCGATCCATGTGACGGTTTCGTAGCTGGCTTCTTCTTGATCCCTTCTCTAAAAACAAGAAAAGTTATGTATCATTGCTATAATTTGAACATTTAGTTCTTATACTCATTTTGAGTTCTCATCATCTGAGCTCGTTGTTGGTGAACTTGTCGATGGCTTGATCTCGCCCACTTGTTCTCTAAAAAATAGGCTATGATATAGAAACCGATACTTTCAGAACTTTCATTTGTCTATCACTATCACTTGTTTGTCTAAATACTGCTTACTTGAGCTCCCAGCAGATGATGTTTGTAAAGAAGAGAGCAGACACCGGAGAATAGAAGATGCCATAGATCCAAGTTTATACCTGTGAAGATAGCCGATTACGTGAAGATCCTCGAGTCCCTCAAGTGCTTGAATTCCACAACCGATAGCCGTGCCGAGCGACATGTGTTGACCGGATCGCTCTTTGCTCAGATCTCGGAGCGATTTCCCAACGAGCGTCATCACCACATGGTTGAATGTTCCATAGCGTTCTTTGTCCTCGATCTTGCAAAAATGACGTCCACCACGATTGCCGAATTCGGTCAACACGAACACTCCCATCTTGAGCATCTAAAAGAAAATAAATGGATAAATAGGAACAAAAATATAAAAGAAGAAACAACTTGTCCACCTAAATCTGCTCGTTGATTCCCTCGACTTTCAGGACATATTGGCCGGTTGGGTCGGAGACATTGTAGACAGCACCGAAACCTCCCTCACCCAACTTCTTCTCGATTTTCCATCGCTCGACCTAAACATTTGTTGTAAAGATTTGTTAAAGTTGCAGAAACCAAATAAATCCTAGATCTTATTCATGAATTGTCTTAGGGCCTAGACTTATTCAAAAGCTTTTCTCTTACTACAATACAAAACATAAAGTAAAGTCAAAATGATGTAAACTTTCAAAAATTAAAGTAAAGCTAAATATGCCTAAGCCGGGCCAATTCAAAATCAAACGTTAAAGTCGGAACCAAAAAAAGCCACAAAATGATGCTTGAGTTCCGGGTTGAAGCTGGACGAATTCTTGAGCCATGAAGAAGCCGATCGTCAAAGAAAGTGAAGACGAATGATGATTTCCGTTCGCTCCGATTCCTTATAGGGGAGGCGATAAATGGGAATTTAAAAAAATTCAAATTTAGCCGAAATTTGCATCTAATGTCTAGAAAATTAGCATTTACCCGTTCTTGATAAATCTTTGCAAATGTTCACAGAAACATCATACTAACTTCTTCTCTTCGACTGGACTTCATCTCGCAATGGCAACCATCGAAGCCGTTCAATCTGTTTCTTCTGTTTCTTCGTTTCTTTCTTCCGTTCAATCTGTTTCTTTCGGAAAGTTCAGACAATTTCCGCTCGCTCTTTTGAGGAAAACATCTGACTCTCTGACTTACATAGACAATATTTTTTGTCTGACTGGGTGATGTGCTTGAATTTATTTGTTTTTATTCCTTCTGGCTACTCTTTGATATTTGAAAGAATCCAATAACACTTTTTTGGTCAATAAAACTATACATATACAAATGAAATAGACTATGAAATTTACTGTTGTTTTTGCAAGGTGTCAATACTTTTGTCCACCATTTTTGAGGTGTCTTTTCTGTCCTTGCTACTTTTTTAAAAAAATAATAAACATTTCGAATCAATTTTTTGTGTGGTTTTAGAGACTAGAGCTTGTTAGCAAAAAAATGCTTTTTAGCACTTTGAATTTGGCTGCCTTTTAAGGGGGGCAATCGCTGAGAGAAATTTTTTTACAAGAGGGTACTAATACATATGACCACCAGTGTAGTAAGGCAAAAAAATAAAACTTTAAATCTTTGAATGCGTGGGTGAACAACGAAAAAAAAACTTTGCTTTATCGATTTTTTAAGACGAAAATTATGAAATTAAATAAGTTCAACAAAATTAAATCTATCACCTTTTCCCTAAACAAACGCGTAAAACATTTCATACATTTCCTCCAAGAAGCCCCCTCACCGGGGAGTGCTTGAGGGGATCGGGGGGGCTAGTTTACTAGTGCTGTAGTTTGTTACTCTGATTTTTCATGATCCCTCATCCAAGTGATCAAGGTTCATAGCGCATAAGACCTCCCCCCAAGATGACAACAAGTTTTACCTTCAAGTTTTGTTTGTTTTGTTTTCAGCAAGTTTTGCCGTCTCAAAATCTTTTGTCATCTTGAGGGGAGGTCTTATGCGCTATGAACTATTCTTCTAGTTTTGTTTTGATGATCTGTTGTGAAAAATTTTGATTCTATGCCTGGAATTCCTGGAACTCATTTTAATCCCCTCTCATTTTTAACTCTTCTTTCTTCAAAATCGTTGTGTAAGTTTTATGAGTTGGTTTCCAATTTTCTTCGATTTTTGACATTACATTCGGATTTGTTGCAAGTAAAGCCATTAAATACACTAAATGAACTCCTTCTTTTACACGTTCTGCCATTTAGAACTCACTAGTTAAAGTTATTCGGTAGACTTGTGTTGCGCTTTTTGTCGAACAAAGCGCGATAAAATAGTTTTAGCAACTCATCAAAGTTCTGTATTCAGTCCCAAAACGATAAAAATACAATCAAATTGACGAGATTTCCCGCTTGAAAAAGTAGAAGCAGGAGAAAATGCTTTGCGAACAGAAATTCCCGCAGTTTTTCCAATCCACTTCTAAATGGTGACGAGTTTTATCTTTTTGGATATAAAAACTTACAATGTTTTTGTTTTTTCTTCTTCTGCGTGCTTTTCACTTATGCTGACAACAATGAAACAAGCGGCTGAAGTGATGAAGACACAAATGAGGACAAATATACCTGAAATTAGATCTGCGATTTTTGGTGTCTATCTCGAAGCTTGATTTTTAGTCAGATTTAGTAACCTAACATTTATATGATTATTTTTGAACTGTGAACCCCTTATTACTCTAAGAATACATTTAAATTATAGCCTTGAAAAGCTAAAAAAAACTTGAGTGACCTGTTTTAATCAGTCCCTGTTTTATCGTTCAACACTCTACCTAATAAAGGAAAATTGTTGGTCTTGGGCATTTATTGGGAAACCATATCGACAAATGTTGTCATCGACATCATACTTGTCAAAGCGATTGCCAACTGAAAGACTTTATTTGATTTTCCTCAAAAAAAACCGCGCAGAACCTTTTCCAGTTGACCCTCTTTCAGATTTGTTGTCCAAAAACATCCAACAATTGATAGAAAAGTCAAGAGAAAGCAAGGGATTGTGATCACATAAATGTAGAAGCTCGGTTCTCGCTTGATTGTTATAAAATAAATCACCGAAAATAAGTAAATATCAATTTTCAAGCACAAATAACCCACCCCAGCAAAACCTTGATCCAAATTCGATCCCTGCACAGGCACATGAAACATTATGACATTTTTCACAACAAACTCCCCATTTCCGTACTAATATAATAATCATAATTTATTCATGAGAAAAGTGAGCTCAAGATGTATGCATATGTTTTAGAAAAGGCTCAGATTGTTGTTTTTGTTTTTCCAAAACGCACCGCCCCCGAATCACTTCCCGATGTGAAAAGCCCTCCTCGCTGATCGACTTTAAACCATTCATAAGTCATTGACCCTATCTGAAGACTGCAATTTTGTGTGTCGAATGGAAACTTTGCCACCTAAATATAACTTTAACGATTTATTCACATCTCCTCACATCCAACTTACATGTCAAATCCGCATTGTAGTCATTGGAAAATTTGACTGTTCCATTCGAATAGATTCTGCATTGCTGAAAACGCTCGGGAGCAACCTGATCGATTGCGATTCTGAAATAAGATTCTTGGAGATTCTTGGAGATTTCAATCTTTTTTAGATCACAAGTTTAGCAATCCGTTGAATTAGTCGCATAGAATTTTCGAGTCCGATAATATAATATTAGGCTAATTCTGGAAACGCACGCATTCATCACGAAATCATCCGGAATCCAAAGAGAATCGCATTGAACAACGATTGCAGAACGTCCATCAAACTCTTCGGGTTCCCATACAAGACGAGGATCTTGCCAAACGAGATCCATTACCATGTATGCTCTCAACACTTGACTGCTTGCATCCTAGATTTCAAGAATTTAAGTCTAAATCTCAGTTTTGGAAGCGAAGACTTTTGAGCTCTTTTTTCAAGAAGAACCAAAACTTAGGATTCTTATATGCCAACCTACCAGGTCGATAATGTAGAGAAACTGTAGTGTGACAGCCATCATTAACCGTTGTTCCACTGGAATTTTGTATAAACAAATCAAAATTTGTTTAACCTATCGAATTTTCTGTCAAATCTTCGTTTATTGGAGCTAAATCCTTGAAATAATTTCGATTCTGAAACATTTCAATGTATAACCGATTAGCTGCATTCAGAGTTGTTGAGTAACTGGCTAAAAAGTGCTTAGTTATGCATTGATTTGTGGAATGGCGCAATAACCATCAATGCCAAATCTCGTGTAATCGATTGAAGTCCGATTGAATTGAGCGCGTGAAAGTCGGAGATGAATCAGAAGCAGAAATAATAGAAATAATCTATGAATTCTCATCGTTTGCAAAATGAAACATTTAAAATTGGATTTCATTTGGAAAAAGAGTAAAAGTAGGTAAACAAATAACAAGAAAAGAATCAAAAAGGTTTTTTGAGATTTTTGTTTGCTATTGTTATTATTAGGTTGATGCAAAAGTCTTTTTCATTTTTTTCGTACTTCTTTTGAAAAATAACAAAGTCATCAATTAACCTATGGTTTGCTCTAAATGAAAAGTGTTTATTGTTGAATTTCCCATCTTTTTAAGTCAATTTGGGTTCACTTTGAAGCAAATTCGAGAGTGAAAACGGGTTTTTCATAAAAATCTATAAAAACCTCTATAAAGAAATTGGCTGAATCAATTTCTCTGAAAATCTGAAAAAATATCTAACTTTTTGTGCTCTATCTTTTATTTATTAACATCAAGATTGGTTTCCTTAGTTAAAGCGTCTAAAATGCATCATCGAGTCGTCGCCTTTTTTGACTACCCGACTTCAGGCTCTCAAAAAAATCTAGACATAAGACATTTTAAACTCGTTTTAATGTCATTTTGCGGAAAAATAATTGGCCTTTCGAATGCAATAAACCGTTGTTCAATTCGTGCATTTGTTACTTTTTAACGGAAGTACGAAAAAAATGAAAAAGACTTTTGCATCAATCTAATAGTTAAGCCATCATTTTATCGTTTAACTGAGGAATTCTTTTGGAGATACATCAAAATTGAAAAAATTAATTGGCTTCAGTCGATTGCAAAACTCAAATGAGACACAATGGAAACAGTAAAAGAAATTCAAAAGGGAACAGAGGAATTGAAAAGAAAGTCCCCAATGAACATGTGAAAACCATTGATTGGTTAATCTGTCAACGACAAACGCTCATTTTATGCTCTGCATTGATTTGTTTTGCAGACTTTTGTGCAATAAAAAAAGTTATTTTTCCCTTCAAGTATCATTGTTTTTTTATTGACCGATGAAACACGAGTTGGTGCTAAAACATAAGTGTTTAATCAAAACAACTTTCTAATAGAAAGTTAATATGGGCTTTTTTTTGAGTATTTCCCCTTTGAGAGGCTTCTGTTATGGTTAATGTTGTCACTAGAATTCACGTACAGGCACGTTACGCTCACACAATCACAAACATGATCGTCATGACACCATGTCGTACAACATGACTGAAAATTGGTCTCAATCGGCACGGTTTTCAGATTATACCAAGAATAGCCCATTTTCGTTCACTTAGTGAAAGTTATGTCAATTGAAAGAAGACTGCTAGATATCAAAAACCTTTAAACACACGTTCCACCATTTTTCTATCTCTCAGAGGCTGCTTCGCACATTCACAACGAGATTGACTCTATTTCACTGCGTCGTTGAGCTATTTAACTTGATTTTTCTGCCTTTTTGGGATATCCACGCAGTAAAGTATGAGTTCGATTGAAAACTTGGAACAATATTCGAAAGTTTTTAGTGTTTAGCTAGAGTTTTGTGCTGATTTTGCTTTCTTTTGACAACTTTCTAACAACATTTGACAACATTTAAAACTCTGTATAAGTATCAACTCAGAACAAGATTGGGACGCTCAAGAAGAGTTAAAAATGAAAGGAGGGCTAAAGTGAATTCCAGGACAGACATAGCATAATAAGATGGATCGAAACGTCAAGCTGAACACTGAATAGTTTCCCAATCTTGTTCGAGAGCTGATACTTGATAAAAAGCTTTTGAAGGTGAAGGAATTAAGAATGTGAGGGGCTAGAGTGGCTTCCAGAACAGCCATACATAATGTAAATTAGCTCAAAACTTTAACCTAACACTGAACAGCTTCCCAATCTTGTTCAGAGTTACTTTATACAGATTTTTAAATCTGTATAAAGATGAGTGAAAAAGAAAGAGAAGGGGCTAGAGTGAGTTCCAGAATAACCATAGCACGGGGAAAATAAGCATGAAACTTTAACTAATCACTAAAAAGTTCCCATTCTTTTTCTCAAGCTTCTTACTGGTACGAAGCTTTTGAAGGTGAAGGGGTTAAAAATGAGAAGGGGCCAGAGTGAGTTCCAGAACAACCATTCACGTTGTAAGTAAGATCAAGACTTTAATCTAAAACTAAACAGCTTCCCAATCTTGTTCCGAGTTAATACTTGACTTACGTAATTGTCCCCAAACTTTCCCAATGCAAAACTTTCTCGACTTCCGATGACATTCAGGGAATCCTCATCGATTCAAGTGGATTTCTCTCCTTCAATTATTCTTGTGCTCGTTTTGGCTACTGGGTCTCGTTTTTGCCATCCAGGTTTAGATCCTAAAGACATTTACGCGCAGAAGACGATCCTTCAAAAGAATTATTGAAGGGATGGAACTTCCTTTTATAGGGGGAAAGGGGAGACGCCGACCCGAGCACGGTAGCTTAGGCGTATTTTAGAATTTTAGGGTGGAAAGTTACCAACCCGTACTCGACCTTAGAGATGGGCGCTACAAACTACGAAGTCAGACTACAAACCCTTGTAGAAACGTGTAAAATGGATATTTTTGAAAACTTTTTTTTACCGAAAAATTGGGTCAACTTTAGGCTTTCGAATGACACCAAAATCAGGGCAAATAATGTTCTCGACACTGAGATATAACGTTTTTTCCAGGTTTGTAGTCTCATCCCATGGGACGAGCTATAAATGGCTGGTTCTCGGAGTAAAAATGATGGGTTGAATTGATCTTGGTGTCATTCGAAAGCCTAAAGTTGGCCCAATTTTTTGGTAAAAACGTTTTCAAAAATATCCATTCTGCGCGTTTCTACAAGGGTTTGTAGTCTGACTTTGTAGTTTGTAGTGCCCATGTCTACTCAAGCTGCGAGATATTGGGGTTTTATAAGGTACTTGCAAAAGAAACTGCGGGTCAAAAAAGCCACCATACAACGCTTGTAAGTAAAGGTGATCCGGATGATTAGTAGTTTGAGAAATCCCAATATCTTCTCTTTTATATAAAAATAATTATGGAGTGATCGTTTCTGGACGAAATATAGAAGACGAATGTTTCAAAAAGCTACCAAAAATGACTTGACGGCGGCTTAAACTTATAACAAAGGATTATTTTTGACAAAAATTTGGTCGAAATTGTCAAAATGACGAAAAACGACGAGTTCGATCGACTCGGGAATTTCTGGCTCGATTCAATAACTGTTCAGTGGCCGATGCCAAGCAAAGTTGAAGCTGGCGCGCTTGCATGCTAGCTACTTCTGGCTTCTCCCCTACCCAACTGTTCCTTTTTCACCACAAAAGTCCTTATAACTCGGCTCCAAGAGGAATTTTTGAATGATTTCGTGCCTCTCGTTTTTTTCACCTTTTCTTACCCCTAGAATAAAAATTGGATCGATTCGGTTTTGGATTTTGGATCGAGCAACAATATTATCCGAATTTTCGACATGGTTTCCATCTGTCTGATAATCGCTGGAGACTCGCTCAAAGTTGTCCCATCGTTCTGAAAATTTGGCAGCAGCTAGATCGGCCCCATGTTTATACGGGCAGCCACTCTTAGTTTTTAGATATCTTGAGTTTTGTTAGTAGCGTGTAACCGCGAGACATGGGTTCAAGACATGGTTTGGAATCGGAAATGAGCCAAATCGAATCAAATAGGATTTTTGTTGAATGTAAATGATCAATTCCATGTTTGTAAGACGATTTATAGTGCTTCTTTTTGAAATGTTTATCGTTGGATCAATAAAACTGTAGAAGAATAGAAAAACTTTGTGATAAAGACAGGAAAATGAGCAAAAACCTAGTGTTGAGAAAGAAAAAGATGTCTAGTGAAAGAGTAAATGTAAAAAAAGAGATGAGATTGGGGAATCTCTCAGCTTGATTTGATGGATTTTGGGTTACTGGTGACCGATCGTCGAATCGATTGTCGAAAGAACGAACAAAATGAAGCTTCAGGAAGCATTTCTTGTATTTCTGCCATTTGGAAAAAATCCAAGATTGAAGCTGAAGTATTTCACAATCAATTTTCTCATTGTTTTCCCTTTTACCTGAACCTCTCGCACATTCGAAAGTGTAGTGTTGACGCTAAAAGAGAGTTGAATCAAAGTCAAAAAATAAGTTGGTATTTTAAAGAAGCTAACTCGCTATCTATCCAATCGTCGCCGAAATTCTTCAAATATTGAACCGAGATTTGACCGAATCCAATAGAGTTTGTTTGAAACGATATGTTGACGGGGAAAAGATCTGAAAACGAACAGTATATGTTCCCTTTTAATCGAAGAGGAAAAACAACATGACGTTTGTTGAGCACCCAGTGCATTGTGATTAAGCCATGAGCACTCGTTGCAGCTTTTGTTATCAAGTTTCATCTGTCTGCTACATAACAAGAGAAATTTAATACAATAAAAATTATCTTATTATGTTATCTTCAAAATTCAACGATAAGTTTGATGGTTTTCACACAATCTTGCTACCGGATGCCTTGTAAAGTTTGCTACCAAATCGAACCGGCACAAATCTTCCGACTTCGATCCGAATCTGGCCCGGGACTCGGTTAAGTGCAAATGTCTACAGGCAAAGAAAAGAAAGATAAAAAAGCATAAACTTGACGGCAAAAATAGGCAGCTTCTATTTCGTTCAACGGGATACTCGCTTGATCGTCGAGAGCCGCGAAAAACACCGTCCCACCACAATTAGGAAGTCTCATTTTCAGGTCGGTGCCTACTGTACGAGA